CTGGCCCTGCCACATACTAGCTATATAATCTTGAAAAAGTTATAAGGATTACAAGAGAAAATTAGTTTTGTCATATTGCCAGATTTTTGCTTGCCTTATAGGTTCCCGATAAATAGGCAGTGGGAGGGTCGGCACACTCTGACAGCCCTAATGTTTGCTGAGAGATCGCCAATGTCAGAGTTCTGAGGATGCAGTTCCCTTGAAAGCTTGCTGTAAGAATCAAAATTCTAGAAGCATTGAATGATGCCAACACAGGCTGGCTTCATTACCTGAGCTAACTTCCAATCCTGGGATATGGGACTACTAGTCACAGACTGTTTAACTTAACTGTACACTGAGTGTCAGTTTTCTTCCTATGTACTTAACTTCTTCCTACCACCTATGTCTTCTTCTCTGAAAGGATACTGTGCAATTTTTAAATTTTAATAATTTATTAAACTTTTTAACCTTGGGGAGAGAGGGACTTCAGCTGAAAATTCTCCCAGGCCATAGCACAGTTGTCATAGCAACTGCTATGGGGTAATTATCTTGTTTCTTTTAAAAAGAAAACTGAAAAATAATCATGTAGAACTTCAGATTAGCTTGCAGCCTAGATTGCTCCAGGCAAGTAACAATACTGTTTCTCAGTGAAACTCTGGGACCAAAGAAGCCTCTACTTACAAGACATTGCCTCTTTCCTCAATGTTCCACAGCACTGCATAGCAGTGTCTTATACATAGTAAGTGGTCAATAAATGCTTATAGCATGAGTAAACCAAACAAATGATCCAATCCCATCTACAAATTTCATTACTAACCCATGGGAATAACAGTAGTTACGCTGTCTGGACAACCAGTTCCCTATTCTCACTTAAGCCCATTACCATTATTATAAGAGAAATAACACCAAGTTAATTAAGCCAGTTACCCTCTCCACTCCCAAAATGCACTAAAACATTTCACTAGCCAGCAGAACAATTAATGAGGACAGTTAGATTTTACTAGGGACAAATACCAAGAAAGGGAGGGGGAAATGTTTCAGGTAAATGAAATTATACATACAAAAGCACATTTAGTGAACTGATAATAATGCTAGCATATTTGAAAAAGAGGCTTCAGGGTAGGGGCATGCAGGAGGCAGCCGATCAATGTATTGCTCTCAGATGGCTGTTTCTTTTTCTCCCGCTCCCTTCCCCTCTCTCCAAAAATAAATTTAAAAAGCTTTTTAAAAAAAAGAATTCATGAGTTCATAGTGACAGTCATAAAAAAAGTAGGATAGGAGAAGAGAAAAAGACAGCTACTCAATGTAAAAGTAATGAGAGAATTGGAAAATCATCATTTTGCAACCATCATAACAGATTCTAATATTAATGAATGAAAAGTTATGAGAAAATAGGATATGTACACACAGTCTCAAAGTATTATGCCCCCCCCTCCAGATTACTTATTAATTACAAAGGGGGGGGGGGCGGAATACCCTAACAGTGGAAAGATCCAGAAAACACCATCTGAACTAATAATTAACATCAGCATCACAAATAATCACAAATAATTTTAAAAAATTAGTATCAGCTAGGTAGTAACCAGAATCTAATTATGAAGAAACAATAGGACAAATCCAGATTTTAGGAAATTTTATAAGACAATTAACTGAATCCTTGCCAGTTGTCTTGTAGAATGTGGGTGGAACTCTTTAATCTTTTGCAAGAGCAGCTATTGGTGTAGAGAGGTTAGCCCGTCCATTCCCTAACTCCTGGGGGGGCGGGGGGGGGGGGAATGAATAAAGTTTGGGGATGCTGGCAAAAAATGGGAGCCAGACAGGTTAGATGTTTACCTAAGCAGGAGAATTGCTAATCTGAACTCAATATCTATCTGTGGGTACAATCTAGAGCTCATTTAGACCAATTCTTTTTTATACATCAAGAAACTTAAGTAGACAAGTGGAAAGACTTCCAAAGACATTCAGAGAGACGACAGCAAACATAGATCTAGAACAAGGACTCAATGACTCCATTACTCCTCTTAATAACTTTTAACTAGTAAAAGTAGTGCTTAGTTAATTATTTAGAAAATGTAAGAACTGGAAGAGTTCACTGGACAACACTCAACCAACTAAGCCACAATGGCCAGGCCCCTTCCTCTTAAATTGTGACTGGTAGCCCTAGCCAGTTTTCTTCAATGGATAGAGCATCGGCCTGGGGACTGAAGGGTCCCAGGTTCGATTCCAGCCAAGGGCACATGCCTACATTGTGTGTTCGATCCCCAGTAGGGGGTGTGCAGGAGGCAGCTGATCAATGATTCTCTCTTATTATTGATGTTTCTATCTCTCTCTCCCTCTCCCTTCCTCTCTGAAATCAATAAAAATATGTTTTAAAAAAGTTATAATCCCACTATCAGAGACAAATTTGGTTAATATTTTGGTGCCTCTTTTTCCAGATATTTTCCCTCCAATTATATAGATTTGTTTCCCTAAGTGTATTAGTCTGCTCCAGGCTGCCATAACAAAATGCCATAGACTGGGTGGCTTAAACAACAGAAATCTATTTTCTCAGTTTCTAGAGGCTGAAAAATCAAAGATCAAAGTTCTGGCAGGTTGAGTTTCTGGTGAGAGCCCTCTTCCTCGCTTGCAAATGGCCATCTCCTTGCTGTGTCCTCACATGGCAGAGAGAGCTCTGGTGTCTCTTTGTATTTTATTTTATTTTTTTGTTAATCCTCACCCGAGGGTATTTTTTTCCATTGATTTTTTAGAGAAAATGAGAGGGAGGGAGGGAGGGAGGAGGGAGGAGGAAGAGCAGAGAGGGAGAGAGAGAAAACATGCGAGAGATACATCAATTGGTTGCCTCCCACACGCACCCCAACTGGGGCCAGGGATCGAACCTGCAACCCAGCTATGTGTCCTTGACCCGGAGAACCTGAGACCCTTTGGTTGACAGGCTGACACTCTAGCCACACTAGCCAGGGCTTTTCCTCTTTTTAAAGGGGCACCAGCTCTATCAGATTAGAGCTCCACCCTATGACATCATTTAAGCTTTAACACTTACTTCCTCACAAGCTCTATCTCTAAATACAGTCACATTGAGGGGTTAGGCCTTCAACATGAGTTTTAGAGGACACAATTCAGCCCAAAAGCATTCTGCCTCTGTCCCAAAGTCACAAATGCATATCCTAATCACCTTCAAAATATATTCATTCCATCCCATCAGCCCCAAAAGTCTTACCTCATTCCAGCATCAACTCAAGTCTAAAAGTCTCATTTAAATATCAATTAAATCAGCCCAGCTGGCGTGGCTCAGCGGTTGAGCACTGACCTATGAACCAGGAGGTCACGGTTCGATATCCAGTCAGGGCATATACCCAGGTTGCAGGCTTAATCCCCAGTGTGGGGCGTGCAGGAGGCAGCTGGTCAATGATTCTCTCTCATCATTGATGTTTCTATCTTTCTCTCCCTCTCCTTTCCTCTCTGAAATCAATAAAAACATATTTTTAAAAGAGCCACACACACAGAGAAACTTTCATCAGGTTAGTGACAGAAAAGAGAAAAATAAAGATAAAAATTCGTTCATTACAATAACTTTGGAAAGGACCTATAGACTTTGAATTCACAACCTGGTTATCAATTTAGATTCTTCTGGCCTCTATAACCCTAAATGTTTGATAAATTCTATGTCCTAAATAACCAAAAAGGGGGAGGAGTAATAAATCATAAAAAAAAAAATAGGTTTTCTTAAATAAAGAAAAAATGTTGACCTCTGCTATTGGTCTTACTTTTATCAGGAAAGTAGCCTATAGGATGGAAGGCAACCAATGAATTTATAAACCATAAATAGAGGTTTTCATTCTCAAAAACAATATGATGGAGGTAATATAACAAAGCGGTTCAAGGCATGGACTATCAAGTCAGGTTGTCTGTGTTTGAATATTTACTTCACCACTTACAACTTATGTAATTTGTGGCAAATTACTCAATCGCTATATGCCTCAGTTTCCTCATCTGAAAAATGGAGAGATAACAGTAAAATCTATGTCTTAGGGTTGTTGTGAAGATCAAATAAGTTAGTACTTTTTAGTTCTTAGACCAGCATCTGGCATACTGTAAGACCTCAAAATGTTAGATGCTATGATTCTTATTATTAGTAGTATTACTACAATTACTATTACTACCAATTTCAACATGCAGTTGATAAGAGTTTGACATGTGTTTCAGAAAAACTATAGTAACAACAACAACAAAAGTACAACACACACACACACACACACACACACACACACCCCACAGCTTGAAAAATTGAAAGAGAACAGACTCCACATCAGTCCTTTAGTGAATCCTCAAGCTGTTTTAAGAGAAATTAAGGAGAAGGTAGCAATATAGCAACAATGCATGGCTCATTTCAAGAAGAAATCTGTGTGATTTGGATAAGTTAATCTCAGGAGAAATAACAAGTTCTCTTACTCAAACATTTATCAAACTTTAATGAGGCGTACTATACTATGTATCAGGTATTGAGCCAGATGCTAGGAATACCAAAGGAAGAATTTCTATGCCTTTAAAAACTTTGTGTTCCTGTCAAAGAAATATTCATAGATTATAATACATGGTAGGTTATATAATAAATGTATGCACAGGGTACTATAGAGGAGAGACATCTAGCTAGACTTGCGGGAAGGACAAAGCGGCAGAAAGATTTTCCAGAGTTAATGACATTAAACAAAGTCTTTAAAAAAATAATAACTGGTAAATGGGGATAGAAAAAGTAAAATCATTCCTCCTGGGATAAAAGTTGGCAAATGGACAAAAAAGATGAGCACCATTGCCCTGCCTACAGCCACACAAAACCAAAAGATCTCCTCCTAAAGCTACTGGGCAGAGATCCATTGGAGGCACGGGTCTGAATAGGTGTGTTTCTGGACTATATACTGTTGACTCACACCACAACACCATCCTCCCCAATTCAAAATAAGCCACACTGGGAGAACTCACAGAAAGCTGTGACTAAGAGCTTCAGAGATAAGTTTCTCACTTACAACACTGGGCGGCAGCACTGGGCAACGGCTTCCTCTGGCTTTCTTCTTGAATAGAATACTAGAAGCAGAAAGGAGAAAAAAAAACACATATAATAAGAGGCCCAAGTAAAGAGGGGAAAACCACAGGTACCTGTAAAAAGGTTTAGTGTTTGACGGGAGTCAAAATTTTTATTGAAAAGAAATAGATGATCCTGCTGCTGATTTCCCTGTGCGATCCCAACATAAAGGCCAGAATATCAGAAATGACACTGGTCCAATGCAACAGGCTAAATCAGGATAGCAGAGACCGTTCTGGCCAAGGACACCTGCCAGGCAGCTGTAGAAGGCTTAGTCTGTTGTTTTTTTAACTTTTTAAAAATTATCACTGGAGGACGTGTATTATTTTTAGAGAGAGAGGAAAAGGGAGAGAGAGAGACAGAGAGAGAAACATCTATGTGAGAAACACTGATCAGTTGCCTCCCGTACGCACCCCGACCGGGGATTGAACCCACAACCTAGGTATGTGCCCTGACTGGGAGTCAACCTGCAACCTTTTGGTGTTGAGGACAATGCTCCAACCCACTGAGCCACCCAGCCAAGGCAGAGAAGGCTTAGTTTTAGAGAAGGTTCAGAAGACTTAGAAAATGCAGTCTTCTAAGTTTTCCTATGGATAAAGTATAGATTCCCCCATTGGAGTGATGGAACCGAAAACCTCTCCGAGACTGAGTTTCTGATGTTTAAAAAAAAGTAACAGTGCTTCCTCCCTCATGAGGTCGTGTGTGCAATTACTTATTTAAGCATACAATGCAACATCAGAAATCTACTTCGGTCCCCTTCACATTTACACTCTAGCCTTCCCAACCCAATCCACCACCATTTACCACCAAAAAAACAAATACAGAGTGCCCTGGCTGGTGTTTCTAAATGGTTAGAGCATTGGCCTGAGCATCAAAGGATCATGGGTTCAATTTCTGGTCAAGGGCACATACCTGGGTTGTAGGTTTGATCCCTTGTCCTGGTCCTGGTCTGGACATGTGGGGAAGGCAACCAACTGGGGAAGGCAACCAATTGATGTGTCTCTTTCACATCAATTTCTCTCTCTCTCTCTCTCTCTCTCTCTCTCCTCTCTCCCTCCCTCCCTCCCTCCCTCCCTCCCTCCCTTCCTTCCACTCTCTCAAGGAAGGAAGGGAGGGAGGGAGGAAGGGAAGGAGGGAAAGAGAAAGAGAATTGGGTTAGAATTAACAAAAACAAAAAGCAAATACAGAGTACTGAAGCCATAAAAATTTTTCTCTAAAATTTTTAATTAAATTTAAGTCTTGAGGATGGGCAGGATTTGAAAAGGCAAAACAAAAAAGAAAAAGACATAAACACTATAACACAGGTACATAGTTTGGAAGACAGAATAGTTTGGTGCAGATCCCATTGGAAGATTGGGAAAACAATGTGGTCCAGCAACTTGCAAATAACCTGGAGTTTTCATCCTGACTCTGCCACTTATTCATAAGCTGTGAAATACGGGGCAATACAGAGCTTTCCTAACATTGCCGATAAATGTGTCACTCATTTAACAGATATTTCTGAGCACTTATTATGTGCAAGGCCTTGTTCCAGGCAATGGGGAGGCAGAGTATGTAAACCATGGTAAGGAGTTAGATTTTATTCTAGTGTATTGGGAGGCCATTTAGAGTTTTAAACACAAGAGAGGTGTGACTTGATTGCACTTTAAAAATCACTCTGGCCCTGCCCAGCTAACTCAGTCGGTGAGAGTACAGTCCTGATTTGCCAAGGTTGTGGATTCAATCTCCAGCCAGGCACATACAAGAATCAACCAATGATTGCATAAATAAGTAGAACAACAAATCAATGTTTCTCTCTCTCTATCTCTGTCTCTCTCTCTTGTCTCTCTCTCCCCCCTCCTCCCTCCTTAAAAATCACTCTGACCCATCAGGTGTGTCTCAGTTGGTAGAGCATTGACCAATGTACCAAGAGGTCACCAGTTCCATTCCCGGTGCCAGGCTCCGGGCTTGATCCCCAGTAAGGGGTGTGCAGGAGCAGCCGAACTATGTTTCTCTCTCATCAATGTTTTTATCTCTTTTCCTCTTCCTTCCTCTCTCTCTAAAAAAAATCAATAAAAACATATTTAAAGCCCTAACTGGTTTGGCTCAGTGGATACAGTGTCAGCCTGTGGACTGAAGTGTCCCAGGTTCAATTCTGGTCAAGGGCATGTACCTTGGTTGCGGGCACATCACCAGTAGGGGATGTGCAGGAGGCAGCTGATCGATATTTCTCTCTCATCGATGTTTCTAATTCTCTATCCCTCTCCCTTCCTCTCTGTAAAAAATCAATAACATGTATTTTTTAAAAACATATTTAAAAAAAATAGCCGAAACCGGTTTGGCTCAGTGGATAGAGCGTCGGCCTGCGGACTGAAAGGTCCCAGGTTCGATTCCGGTCAAGGGCATGTACCTTGGTTGCGGGCACATCCCCAGTGGGAGATGTGCAGGAGGCGGCTGATCGATGTTTCTCTCTCATCGATGTTTCTAACTCTCTATCTCTCTCCTTTCCTCTCTGTAAAAAATCAATAAAATATATATTTAAAAAAATAAAAAATAAAAAAATAAAAAGTCATTCTGGCTACTGTGTGAGATAAACTGTAGGGAACAAAAAGGGAAATAGACCAATGATTGCAATTATCCAGACAAAAGTTGATGACAGTTTATATAGCAGTGCCAGTAGAGAAAGGCCTTTCAAGTGGTTGGATCCAAAATACAAAACGTTTTTTGTATAAAAATATACTTTTATATATAAAACTAGAGGACTGTTGCACAAAAAGATTCATGCAATAGGCCTTCCCTTCCCTTGCTGCCAGCACCGGTTTTCCTCCAGGACCCAGGCCTTCACTCCGGCCGGAGCCGCCTTCAGTCTTCGCTCCGCCGCTTCGCACCTACGTATGCAAATTAACTGCCATCTTTGTTGGCGGTTAATTTGCATATCTTGCTGATTAGCCGATGGGAGGCGTAGCGAAGGTATGGTCAATTATCATGTTTGTCTATTATTAGATAGGATGCTATACAAGCAATAACCTATGATACAAATATCAGAGGTAGATAGGAAGGATCATAAGTCAAGTACAATTTATTTTATTTTTGTAATATGTTTTTATTGATTTTAGAGAGAGGAGAAGGTAGTGGGGAGAGAGAGAAACATCAATGGGCTGCCTCCTGCACAACCCCTACTGGGTGGGGATCAAGCCTACAACCCAAGCATATGCAATGACCGGAAATCAAACCAGCAGCTTTTTGGTGCATGTGACAATGCTCAACCAACTGAGCCACACCAGCCAGGGTGAAGTCAGGTACTATTTACTTACTTATTTATTTATTTATTTATATTTATCTATTTATTTATTCAGTCCACGGGCCGATGCTCTATCCATTGAGCCAAACCGGCAAAGGCCTACCTTACTCAGAATTCAAATTTTCTTTATTGACTCAAAGATATCTTGTCACAGTTGATTTGTTCAATTCATGATCCAAACAAATTGTACATATTTGGTTATTATGTCTTTTAAATCATTTTAATTCTACAGTTGTTTCTTCTTCTCTCATTTGTTATGTAGAATTCTGTACATTCTAGATTTGGCTGATTATAACCCAAGGTTTTATTTACCATGTTCCTCTATCCATCTTACTTTCTTTAAACTGGAAATTATTTCTAGTAGTTTGAGGATTAGATTGAAATTTATATTGATGGTGTGTCTGTGGGTGTTTTTTTTTCTTTTTGGTGGGGTGATGGTGTCTTATGTCACTTTTAGTGATATTAAATTTCAATAGTGGATTCAAATGGTATCAGCCTATTTCATCCATTATGAAGTGATCCCACCAGCCTTTCACCTAATGGTTTTCACAGCATAAAACCGACATAAAATTTTTAAGCAGACATAAAAATGAGCATAGCAAACTGAAACCTTTACACTTACCTCCAAGATTCAGTAATTATCAAGATTTCATAAATGATATATCCAATAAGGGGTTAATATATAAAACACAAACAACTCAATAACAAAATAAATAACCCAATCAAAAACTGGGCAAAGGACATGAAAGGGCATTTTTCCACAGAAGATACAGATGGCCAACGTACATATGAAAAGATGTTCAACATCACTAATCATCAGGAAAACGGAAATCAAAACCAGCATAGCAAAAGTGGTACTTTTCCAAAAGTAAAATAACTTATTTTTCCCTCCACCAACAATATCAAGAGCATTCCCTATTCCTGATGGCCCAGATTGAGTTGTGTTCTTTTCTGTGCAACAGACCCATTTCTGGAGATAAGTTAGTACAGCAGGACACCAAGCATGTAATAGTCTAAACATCCTTTAAAAAAGCAAACAAATAAGGATATATAGATCCAAAAATCTGGGAACTAGCAGAAGAAATGCCTTTGTTCATCTGTGTAACAAGAGGACAGTTTTTCTGGTATAAGCTCCTTCCCCAACAATCTAGAGCCAGACTACTGCCAATTCAGCCACTTCTGGGCAACACTGAGAAGAATAGGAAAAGTAGGAGAAAAATCCTTCTAATGAAACGTCAGGCAATCTTCCAGATGCCTTTTTCTTTTTTTTTTTTTCTTTTTTCTTTTTTTAAAATATATTTTATTGATTTTTTTACAGAGAGGAAGGGAGAGGGATAGAGAGTTAGAAACATCTATGAGAGAGAAACATCGATCAGCTGCCTCCTGCACACCCTGCACTGGAGATGTGCCCGCAACCAAGGTACATGCCCTTGACCGGAATCTAACCTGGGACCCTTGAGTCCATAGGCTGACGCTCTATCCACTGAGCCAAACCGGTTTTGGCAGATGTCTTTTTCTTTAACACAGTTTAAAGTTTTTCATTCCTGAACATACTCACAGGTCCCTCTGTTGAAAAACTATAAAATGTTCTTTAAAAAGATTTTCTCTATCTCTCCATATTGCAAATAAGGCTGTTCCTACCTCATTGTCAGCACCCAAGGCATTGATTTGCTCCAATTTGTAGGTCCAATATCTGGCTTCTTCCTCTGGGATATCTACCATGAAAAAGAAGAAACCAGATTATAAGGTTAATAATTTAATCATGGGTCAATAATGCTTTGTTCGATCGGATAATCAAACTTAGAAGGGTGGTAGCAATTGACTAATTTTACTGGTGGCTTCATTCTTTCTATGAACATTATCTTGAATCTTTACAAAAACCAAAATAATGTTCTATTATTTCCACAGGACTAGAAGACTTAATATTGTTAATGTGTTAATACTACTCAAAATGATCTACAGATTCAATGTGATCACTATCAAAATCCCAATATGTTTTTTACAGATATAGAAACCACATCCTAAAATTAATATGGAATCTCAACAGATCCCAAATAGCCAAAACAATTTTAACCCTTTTCGGTCCAACGTGGAGTCTGACTCTACAGACCAAGTGCTAAGAGCAGGTCCAACATCGAGCTGAGGTCTAGTGAGACAGAAAACTTCAACATTCAATCCCAACATTCAATTAATTTGGACCAGACTGTTTGAATTCCAAAAATAAAATTGGACCACAAAGGGTTAAAAGTAAGAATAAAGCTGGAGGACTCACATTTCCTAATTTCAAAATTTACTATAAAGCTACTAGAGGCCTGGTCCACAAATTCGTGCAGGGTGGGGTCTGGCCTACCTGCCCCAATGGGGGCCCATCGGGCCGGGCTGGCCAGGGGTAGGGGCTGCAGGTGGTTGGCTGGCCAGCTCCGCCCCCAATCGGGGCAGGGGTTGGGCCGATCAGGGCCCGGATCAGGCTGGTTTGGCTGCCGCAGTGCACATCATAGCCACCGGTCATTCTGGTCGTTCTGCCATTCCAGTTGCAGGGCTTTTATATATATAGATAGTAATCAAAATAGTGTGGTACTATAGTATGTGACATGATAGAGGTATCAGCTAATGCTATGATGGTGGTAATCATTTTCCAATATACAAATGTATCAAATCAATACATTGTACACCTTAAATTTACAGTGTTAGATGTCAATTATATCTTAATACAAATATTTTAAGTGGGGGGGGAAACAGTGTGATACTGACATAAAGATAGATACATAGATCAATAGAATAGAGAGTTAAGAATTAAAGCCTCATATATGTGGTCAAATGATTTTTTGACAAGGATACATTGAATGGGGAAAAGAGTCTTTTCAACAAATGTTGCTGGGGAATTTCTTCACTGATACAGCTCCTAGGGCACTTGAAACTAAAGAGAAAATGAACAAATGGGACTACATCAAAATAAAAAGCTTCTGCACAGCAAAAGAAACCATCAACAAAACAACGAGAAAACCCACTGTGTGGGAAAACATATTTGCCAATGTCATATCCGATAAGGGCCTAATCTCCAAAATTTATAGGGAACTCATACAACTTAACAAAAGGAAGATAAACAATCCAATCAAAAAATGGGCAAAGGACCTAAATAGACACCTTTCAAAAGAGGACATTCAGAAAGCCAAGAGACATATGAAAACATGCTCAAAGTCACTAATCATCCGAGAGATGCAAATCAAAACAACAATGAGGTACCATCTCACACCTGTCAGACTGGCTATCATCAACAAATCAACAAACGACAAGTGCTGGAGAGGATGTGGAGAAAAAGGAACACTTGTGCACTGCTGGTGGGAATGCAGACTGGTGCAGCCACTATGGAAGACAGTATGGAGTTTCCTTAAAAAACTGAAAATGGAACTCCCATTTGACCCTGTGATCCCACTTCTAGGAATATATCCCAAGAAACCAGAAACACCAATCAGAAAGGATATATGCACCCCTATGTTCATAGCAGCACAATTCACCATAGCTAAGATCTGGAAACAGCCTAAGTGCCCATCAGTAGATGAATGGATTAGAAAACTGTGGTACATCTACACGATGGAATACTATGCTGCTCTAAAAAGGAAGGAACTCTTACCATTTGCAACGTCATGGATGGAACTGGAGAGCATTATGCTAAGTGAAATAAGCCAGTCAATGAAGGAAAAATACCACATGATCTCACTCATTCATGGATAATAGAGACCATTATAAACTTTTGAACAATAATAGATATAGAGGCAGAGCTGCCTCAAACAGATTGTCAAACTGCAGCAGGAAGGCCGGGGAGGGTTGCGGGGCAGGAGGTAGGGGGGTAAGAGATCAACTAAAGGACTTGTATGCATGCATAGAAGCATAACCAGTGGACATAAGACATTGGGGGATAGGAGAGGCTAGGGGATTGTCTAGGGCGGGGGGATAAAATGGACACATATGTAATACCCTTTGTAATACTTTAAGCAAAAAAAAAAAACCAAAAAAAAAACAAAAAAAAAACAAATGTTGCTGGGAAAACTAAATATCTTATGCAAAAGAATGAAGTTGGATCCTTACCTAACACCATAAAAAAAATTAACTCAAAATGATTCAAGACCTAAAACCATAAAATTACTAGAAAAAAGCAGAGGGCAAAAGCTGCATGACATTGTATTTGGCAATGATTTCTTGAATAGGACACCAAAGGCACAGGCAACTAAAGAAAATATAGACAAATTGGACTTTATGACAATCAAAAAATTTCTGCAGTAAAAGATAATACCAATAGAATAAAAGGGCAACCAACAGAATGGGAGAAAATATCTGCAAATCAAATATCTGATAAGGGATTAATACCCAAAATATACAGAGAACTCTTAAAACTCAACAACAAAACAAAAACCCAATTAAAAAATGAAGGACTTGATAGATTCTCCAAATATATACAAATGGCCAATAAGCACATGAAAACATGCTCAACAACACTGATCATTAGGGAAATACAAATCAAAACTACAATGAGATACTACTTCACACCAATTAGAATGGCTACCATAAAAAAAAAAAAAAAAAAAAAAAAGCACAGAAAATAACAAGTGTTGGTGAGGATGTGAGAAACTGGAACCCTTGCATACTATTGGTAGGACTATAAAATGGAACAGCCACTAGGAAAAAACAGTATGGCAATATTTTAAAAATTAAAAATAGAATTACCATATAATGCAGCAATTCCATCTTGGAGTAATAATATACTCAAAAGAAATTAAAGCAGAATCTCAGAGATTTCTGCACACCCACGTTCATAGCAGCATTATTCACAGTAGCTAAAAGGTGGAAGCAACCCGTGTCCACCAATGAATGAATGGATAAGCAAAATGTAGTATGTATATTAAATGGAATATTATTCAGTCTTAACAAGGAAGGAACATATGTTGCAACATGGATGAACCTTGAGAATATCATGCTGAGAAACATGCCAGTTACAAAAAGACAAATACTATATGATTCCACTTATCTGAGATGCTTAGAATAGTAAAAAATCATAGACATAGAAAGAATGGTAGTTGCCAGGGGCTGAGGGGTAAGGAGAATAGGAGTTATTTTTAATGGGTACAGAGTTTGATTTTTACAAGATGAAAAAAGCTACGGATATGAATGACGGTGACGGTTCACGACATTATGAATGTATTAATATCACTGAACTGTACACTTAAAATAGTTAAGATAGTTAATTTCATGTTATATGTATTTTACCACAATAAAAAAGAAAAATTAATAATGGTATATACTCATTTCTATATATTTAAGATTGACTATTACAACTTACCCCAAAACAAAACTCACCTTTTATAAACATCAGATATATACAGCATGAAAGAGAAACAATGTGGCAACATACGGATCAGAGCAACTGTGGAGACATTTAGACAGATATATCTTCCTGCCTAAAACTTCCCCTCCTCCCCCTCAAACTGCTCTTCAGCAATTAGTGGCAGTATTTCAAAGTTTTATAATAAAACCTTCAAATAATCTACTACCTAGTTTGTGTAGCACTTCCTCATCCATAAAATGGTGTACCCTGTAATTGTTCAAAAGTGAGAGGACAGGAAGAGCTGCTATGCTGCAGGTCTATAAGTTCTGATGTAGAATAATGTAGAATGACTCTCTAAGACAGTGGTTCTCAACCTTGGCTGCACATTAGAATCACCTGGGAATCTTTTTAAAATCCTGATTTCTGGGCCTCCGCCTCCGGAAATTCTGTTTCTTTGTTTCTTTGTTATGGGGTGGGGCCACAACATATGGGGTGGGGCCAGTAACAAAGAAACAGAATTTCCAGAGGATGAGGCCCAGAAATCAGGATTTTAAAAAGATTCCCAGGTGATTCTAATGTGCAGCCAAGGTTGAGAACCACTGCTCTAAGATACATTGTTAAGTGGAGAGCATCAGGGACACCAAATGTGTTCGAATATACTACTATTTGTGTTTTAAAAAGGGATTAAGTCTATATTTGCTTATAGATTCAAAGACTAACTCTGCAAAGATACACAAGAAAGTACTAATCATGACAACCTATAAGGAAGAGAATTTATTTGTGAGGGAGGCTTAGTAATTTCTACTGGATAACTTTTTAAACCACTGTTCATGTATTCCTACCTTACCCCTCAAAATAGTTTTAAGAAAAATATAGAGCTGTGATTATGTTTACTGCAGTATAATTTATAATAGTATAAACTTTGAACAAACAAAATACCTAACAAGAGGAGTGGTTAAATATATTATAGTTTAAAAGTCCAGGCCCTAGCTGGTTTGGCTCAGTGTGAACAGTCAAAATTAAAATTAAACTGAATTAAAACAAGATACCATATCAACCAATTACACAGAAAAAGGTTAAAGATTGTGAAATACAAAATGTTAGCAAAGATGTGTAGAAAAGGGACATCTTGGATACAGCTGATAAGACTATAAAATGGCACAATCTTTCTGACAAGTAACTTGGCAATACTATGAAAAGTAATGGTGCATATATTGTTTGACCCATTCTTTATTTTGTTTTATTTTTTTAATTTAAATTCTTTATTGTTTAAAGTATTACATATATCTCCTTTTTCACCCCATTGACCTCTCCCCGGCCACTCCCACCCCCTGGACCCAGTCTTTAAATTCTACTTTAAGGACTTTCTCCTAGACTCACAAATGGGCACAGAGATACAAAGCTGTTCATTACAGCAGTATGTAATATTAAAAAAAAACAAAAAACAAAAAACGCCGAAACCGGTTTGGCTCAGTGGATAGAGCGTCGGCCTGCGGACTGAGGGGTCCCAGGTTCGATTCCGGTCAGGGGCATGTACCTGGGTTGCAGGCACATCCCCAGTAGGAGATGTGCAGGAGGCAGCTGATCGATGTTTCTCTCATCGATGTTTCTAACTCTCTATCTCTCTCCCTTCCTCTCTGTAAAAAAAAATCAATAAAATATATTAAAAAAAACAAAAACCTACACGTCAATTAATAAAGCGTTGCTTAGATCATCTACCATATAGGCATCTAACTGTTCAGACCAGCAAGATAGACCTTAAGTATAACATGGAACAATGTCCAAGATAATGTGCTTTTGTAGTTCATACAACACTTTATGCAGTTATGTGCGGTTTAATAACAAGGTATGTTCTGAGAAATGCATCAGTAGGCAATTACATCATTGTGCAAGCATCATAGAGTGTACTTACACAAACCTAGATGATATAACCTACTATACAACTAGGCTTATGGCATACCACCATCATATAGATGGCCCATCATTGACTGAAATGTCATTATGCGGCACACAACTGAATCACTATATGTAATATATACATATGATTCAAATTTTGTCAAAATAAATTTCTGCAAAAGAAATTTCTTATTTCTAAACCAAGACACAAAAAAATTAATAGTGGTTAATTTCTTTGACCACTGAAAATAGAATGCAAAGGAGGTGGGAAGAGAAACAACTTTTATTCATGTACATTTCCATACTATTTGAATTTTTGCCAGGGAATGTATTTTTTGTGATTTTTTAAAAATTTCCTTTTAAATTACTATTCTACTTATTAGTGCTACGTCATTGTTAAAATGAACAGATCATAAGTTATACATTCACTTCAAAACAATAAATGTTAAAATGTTATCACAAGAATAAATTATTGATGTTCTCTAACACGCAGGTATTTCATAAATCATACTAAATAATCATAAAAAAGTAAATACTTAAAGAGAATGCTTTTAGTATAGATTCTTTAATTAGCACCATTCTAGCATCAACTTTGCATCATCCCTGGGATAGGCATTATAGGAAATAGAGAGGAAGACAAGAATGCCCTCAAAAAAGATGGCTGATAAGACAAAAGACAAAGGAATAAAACAAATAGCAAACAATTTGAAACAATATGGTAAAAAGTATTAAATGACATTAAAAATCTAATCAAACAGACTCACCAAAAGGCAATTCAAATCTTGTATCAAGCAAAATTTTATGAGGAGTTGGGTTTTTAGTTCCACAGATCTCATCATCTTTCATTAATGTCTCTGCCTCCAATGTGGACCACTCCCCAGGCCCTTCCTAGAAAACAGAGATCTAAGATTAAACTTTACTTTTTCATGATTCCCCTCTTGGTTTAAGAGCCAAGTGTTTTTCTCTGAATTTCCTTGTTGGAGAGCTTCTGAGGGCCACTCACTTCCTGATAAGACAAACACACCACTGTCACCACCTACCTTTCCTGCTCTCTGCAAGCCCACTGAGGAAAGAATTTCCGGAGTACCAAACCGAAAAAAACAAGCATCTCCATGGATCAATATTTAATCTGTGTCATTCTTAATGACTGTGTCACTTCATGTGTTTCTATTTCTAGTCAGTAAAGAGCTACTAACATTGCTAGTTAAGTAGACTTGAACTGGGGCCACAATGAAAATGAACTGCCCATTGCTGGGGGAGTACAAGTTTAACCAGAACTAAAAGAAATTCCGGAAGGAGGGTCACATTTTCATCACCCCCACTCCCAGAGAAAACTCCCAGTCCATGTAAAAGATATATAGGAATACTATAGATTCTATCCACATTCAAAGTGGGTGTGTATGGAGAAATTATGCTGAATTCTAACCTGGGGAAGTGGAATGGGAGTTCAGTCTTGAAAATAATGTACAGAGACACTGGGAATGCCAATTGCCAAAACTGGTAGTTCCTTAAACCCTGTTAGGGTTACATGTAGAAGGAAGACTGAAACCAGTCCCCTGGGGATTAGTGACCCAAAGAAAAAAAGCAGAAAATAGGATCCAAAGTAGAGAACAAAACCCATCCAGATGGCTGAGGAAGTTTAATGGATTCCTCTCAGGAAAGTATCTTAGTGGGAAAGGTAAAAACCACAGGTACCCTAAATCAATCACACACAGTCTCTCCCTTCCCTCCTTTACCCTCCTGATATCTCTCCTCTCGCTCTCTATCTCTCCTCTCTATCTGTTCTCTCTCCCTCTCCCCCCCCCCCCTCTCTCTCTCTCTCTCACACACACACACACACACACACACACACACACATACACACTACTCAGAAGGGCTGTCTACCTGGTAAGTTTAAAGAGGTGTTCTAGCACTTTTGAATTCGGTCACAAGGCAGAGGAAAGACCAGACCGAAATAAAATCCCCTAAACCTCTAGGTGAGGTGAGGAATAAGCTGGTTGCATGCAAGGGGGCAGAGCAATCTGAGATGTATGGATGAGTATTAGTTGAATGGAGATTGAGTGGGGAGAACTAAGGCTAGAACCATACCTATAAGTGGGCAATGCAATGACTGACCTCATTTGACTGTCGAATTGTCTTCAGTGCAATCCACACGGTACCCACCATGGTGTCCCAAATCAGTCCTTTGTTCCATACCTCCACACTTAGACCCAGGTCCAGGCGACTAATCTCACTAAAAGAAAGAAAAAAAATCCTTTAAATAAAGCCAGATAATATGAAGGAAACAGCTACATTTCCTGTTTACCTTGAATATTTTATTACCAGGATTTTGTCAAGAAAAATCAAAATGCCCCAGAATGCTGCACCCATTGTTTAGATTCCTAGAAACCTATGTAAGGTATCTATAGAAAAATGCCTTTGTTAGTCTGTCCCCTCTCCTTTGGAGCTACAATTATGATTAGATTAACAGTTTCATTTTTTAAAAAAAAAAAAAAGTGAAACCAAGCAATGTGGGCATTACTACAAAGGCTGCCTGCATACACTCTTCATCCACCCTTAGGCAATAGTCTTATATGTTTTCTTGTTAATACTAACACCGCCCACAACTTATATCTATGAATTGTATACAGGAAACTTGTAGAAAAAACAAGGCTTCTTCACAAGATTTATTAAATGGGTTGTAAGCAGAAGAAGACACATCCCTGAGAACATCTAAGTTTGATGGGAACACATGGTCAGGGACAAGTGAGGGACACTAGTGTGCCAGTCCATACCACACAGCCCCTCATTAGACATTAACTCATTAGACATTATCAGTTAAAGTAGGCACTGCCACTTATTAACAAAATGACTATCACAGGAGAATGATAAATAATGATGATTTTCCTATAATAATAACTAAGAATTTTTTTAAAAGAAATGATTCTGGAAAGAGCCAAATAACCAATAAGCAAAAGCAATGTCATGTATTGGAGGAATATCAACTTGGAAGGGCTAACTCAAACTTAGCTATAGCCTTACAGTGGAACAAGCAAACACTTATGTTAATGTTAAAAACATTCTCCAGAAAGCTCTTGTTGAAACACAAGCTTATTTGAGAAGAAATGCAAGAAAGATGAGAAAAGGCCAATTCCAGCAGAAAAAGCAAAAAGGTATTCTCAGGAAAACAACATCTACTTATCACATGCAGAAATTTCAAGTTAACACGTTAGAGAAAAGCTCGGCTTCCCTGTTGTACTAGTAAGATAAATGTTCTCAGATTCAAAATTTTGGGATGCGGTATTATAGCCATAGAATTCAAATCAAATGTGCTGAAAATAAGTGAAGTAAAGAAAATTTTCCCCTTTACATAAATACAATAGAGTATAGAATGTAATAATGAGCTCATTTGTTCATTTACTTAATGTTTCCTGAGCACATACATATGACTTGGTTCTTTGAGGAAGACATAACCCAGGACCCAGTTCCTGTCTCTAAAAACTTCCAAACTATCAGGAGTTGACTCACATTCATAATTCGTCTCTAAGAATAGATTACGAATCCACAAGAGAACAAAACTGCAGACATACTTCACCTTCCACATACCTCAATTGTTCCTGTAACTCTGTAGTTTTCAAAAAGGATATTTAACATATGCTAATACATTTAAATGTTTTTAAATATTTAACATATTTTATAAACCTTACATATACACAAAATCTTGGGCCTGCAATTGTTTAATCCAATGTAATTACCTTGAAAAGGTAATCAAATATTGCAGGTGCGCTGCTGCTGCAAAGTACTTACAACATAAAATCTTGTTCCCAGGAAGGTTGATCACCACGCACTGCTACAGTTGTGCTCTTCACATTCTGCACTTTCAGGGTCACATACGTGTTAAATTTATCTTTGAAAAAAACGCAAAATGAAGATGTAATACTTAGTGCTCAGACTGTTACCCAATCTCTCACAGCCTTTGGAAAGAAATAATATCCAAAGTAAAGCATCACATATAGAAGAAATGGAAACATATTGTACAAAGTAGCATCATTCAAAACATAGTAGCGTCGCAAAAAATATATAAAACACATATTACCTTCAAAAGCATAACCGATAAGTGTTTTGCAAATTTAAGAAATGTATTTGACCCAGGAGACACACAAACACATATAAACTAGAACAAAGCTTCATAAAATATGAGATGGTACATTGATGTTTACCAGTCTATTTCATTTAATCTATAAAAATGTTAACATAACCAACTAATTTAATTTTATAGCACACCTGCAGCTTGAAAAAACTAATATAATTCATCTAATAGGAAAGATATATAACTTTAAATGTAGAAAATAAAAGTGCCAGTAAGAGAAAAAGTAATAAAGGATTGTAGAAAAGGAAAGGGTACACTCTAGCTGTTGAAAGGGATAAGAATTCAGGATAAACCCTCATAACGGAAATGAATTTCAAACTTGATCTATTCAATTATCAGAAACATTATTACAGAGTTGGGAAAAGGAAATTCTCTAACTGAGAATATAAGTTGAGTATTAAACAAAGGTGGGTAGTCTGAACTTCAAAACTCAGAGATCTGACCTACTGCTTAACACAGCGCATTCTATTCTCACCCTACTACCTTCACATCAGCCATGATGAGGGCACTGAATTGAGAGTTTTTTCATATAAACAAGTTCACCATAATTTTATAAAATGAAAAAGGAAGAAAGTTATCTTTGACTCATCAAACTGGCAAAGACGGCTTAAAACGATTACCTAATGCTAGAGATGTGAGAAAATGGTCCCTGTCATGCACTTCTAGCAGAAGGTAAATCTTTCTCTTAAGTATCATTAAAAATTATGTATTTTATATATAATTCCCATCCATATCCAGTGTCCCAGTGCAGTAGACTACTGAGCTATGTTTCATATCATATGATTTTGTACTCCACTCCCCACATCCCACGGTAGCTAATTAGATCAGGGGCAGGTGCCACTCAAGAGCATCCAGTCTATGGGATGGCCAAAAGGTGCGACCAATATGATTCCTCCTCAAAATATTGTAAGTAGGGAAAACAAAGAAACAGTGGTAGCTTCAGGTAGGTTATAAAGCTTGAATGAGTAGCATGCACACTCCACTGGAGAAAGCCATCATGGGCTGTATGCAAGCACAGAAAGCCAGCTAGAACAGATTCGTACTTAAAAAAAAAAAAAAATTCTTAATCCAAAACCAGTGGAGAGAGTAGAAAGCTCAGAACCTGCTTTAGTTCCTGTTGCACTCAAGGTTTTGCTTGGTTTTTCAGATTTCCCTGGGTTCCCAACCACGTTCATTTTTTTCTAGTTATTTCCAGAGCTCTTTCCTTCCCCAGCAGTAATCAGAGTAACTTGACATTTACAATTAAGGAAATGTGTATAAAAATAAGGAGATACTATTTTTACCTTCAGATGGACAAAGATTAAAGAGTTTCATATTATTTCATGTTGATAAGGATTTGGGAAAATAAACCCTCACACACTGTGTAGGTTAGTATAATCTAGCAAAAACTTTCAGAAGGCTAATGTGGCAGCATCTACCAAATTTCTCTAAAATACATACTGTTGGCTCAGCAATTCTATTTCTGGACTCTAGTGTACATTTACATTTGTAAAAGCAGGCAATGATAAATCCACAAGAACATTTACTTCTTAAAATAGCAAGAAATTAGAAACAACCTAAATATTCAATCAAGTATCTAGGGTACAAATCTACAACAAAATTCTGTACATTTTTTTTAAAAAAGAACCAGATATACACACACATAAGAAAAGATTTTCATGATGTGCTGGGAAAAAACTAGGTTGCACAAAGATATGTATAGCTAATGCAGTAGTGTACACACACATACACAGAAAAAAAGTCTGAACGATATATAAAAGCCTCTAAATAGTTACTTCAGAAAGTATAATTGAGTTGGTCAAGAAGTAAGGGGACTTTAACTTTTTGCTAGATAGATATATAGATTCTGATTTCTTTAAAGTTTTACAACAGCATTGTTTTTCCCCCCAGCTTTTCTGAGGTATAATTGACAATTTAAAACTGTATATTTTAAGGGATACAACCTGATTATTTGATATAAGATACACTGTGAAATAATCACCACAATCAAGCAAATCAACATATTCATCACTACCTCTTATAGTTACCATTTTGAATGAATGAGAGAGGGAGTATGTGTGTTGAAAACACTTAAGATCTTCCCTCTTAAAAAATTACAAGTATAGCCTACCAGTGTGGCTCAGTGGTTGAGCGTCAACCCATGAACCAAGATATCCCTTGTTCGGTCCGAGTCAGGGCACATGCACAGGTTGCAGGCAGGCTTAATCCCAGTAGGGGGCATGCAGGAGGCAGCCAATTGATGATGTTTCTCTCTCATGGATGTTTCTCTCTCTCTATCCCTCTCCCCTTCCTCTCCCTCTAAAAATCAATCAAAACATTTTTTTAAAAAAAGAAAGAAAATTACAAGTATACAACACTTGTCAACTATATACACATTGCTGTACATTAGATCTCCAGAAATTTTTCATCTTGCTTAACTAAAACTCTGTACCCCCTTGACCAACATCTCCCCATACCGATTTTTTAATTAATGTTTTAATGAATTTAGTATGTTTAATTTAATAAATGAATACAATAAAATTAATTTTTAAAAGATTGCTTTTAAATCACAGAATGTATGAGGGTACATAGTAAGTAAAGATGGATCTTACCTGGTGAACCCTGGAATTTGGCTCTTTTAACTGCAAAAGAAAAAAAAAAAGGCATCATGAAAAAATGTCACCAATTAATTTATCTAACCAACATTTCCTGAGCACCTATTAAGCCAAGCATTGTTAGAGTTAGGACTAGATTTTTCTTTAAAGTCAATTTTTTAAAATCTTTATTATTGAAAGTATTACATATGTCCCCATTTTTTTCCCATTGACCCCTTATAGCCTACCCCTACCCCTCCACCCCAGGCCTCCACCACCCTACTGTCTAAGTCCATGGGGTATGCATATATGCATACAATTTCTTTGGTTGATCTCTTCCACCATCCCACCCACCTCCACCTTCCCTCTGAGACTCAACAGTCTGTTCTAAGCTTCTATGTCTCTGGATCTATTTTGTTCAACAGTTTATTTTGTTCATTAGATTCCACATACCAGGTGTACTGGTTAATAATACAGATTTTGTAATCAAAGAAAACACGATAATTTCAAGAGAAACATCAAAAGTGCTTTATTCAAAGTAATGTCCATCGCTAGCTACACATTTCCCCCATCTTTCAGGTAATTTGTGGGTAATGTCCCAATAGAACTTGTTTTGAGGCAAACCATTCAGAGACCCAATTTTCCACTTCTTCGTATGTTTTGAAGTGCTGCTCAGAAAGTGCGTGTGCCATCAATTGGAACAAGTGGTAATCTGAAGGAGCAAGGTCTGGTGAATTCGGCGGGTGGGTTAATACTTCCCAGGCAAGATCTTTGAACATGTCTTTATTTTTATTTTTTTTAATCATTTTTTTCTTTATTGATTAAGGTATTACATGTGTCCTTATCCTCCCATTACCCCCTCACCTCCCCCCCCCCCCCCCCGTGTCCCTTGGTTAGGCTTATATGCATGCATACAAGTCCTTTGGTTGATCTCTTCCCCTTACCACCACCCTCCCCTACCTTCCCTCGAGGGTTTTTTGTCGTTTTTGGGTGTGTGTGTTTTTATTTCTTTATTGGTTTCAGAGAGGAAGGGAGAAGGAGAGAGAGACAAACATCAATGATGAGAGGCAATCATTGATCGGCTGCTGCCGGGAGCCGGTCCATCCTTGCTGTTTCAAGGGACCTGGCATATATGGCATACTGTTCTTAATATGTTTGCTCACCTTCTTAGCACTATGTGTTTTAACCAAGGTCTCTGAGAAAGGTTGTTTCCCCAGGTAGGGATTTTCCCTGAAGTTAGGGAGGGAATAAAACCTCTTAACTAAGTGCCAGGCGGGTAATTAATCACTTTAACTATGAACAATCATGCTTAAGCTACATAATCTTTACTCCCTGGAATGGAGATAAGAAACACCCTAACCTTTGGAATAGAGATTGATAGGATTGGAATCAACTGGTATAAATACAGATGCAACAAGACAGCAAGACACAGAACTCAGAAGACAGAACTTAGAATACGGAACCAAGAGAGACGGAACCTAGGCACAGAACCTACACAGAACGTTCTCTAGAGACAGAAGAACTTCGCTGGAGAGAACATGGCAAAAGATACTGGACAGAAACTGGCCTCAGAACCTAGAGACAGAAACTAGCGAGAGAACATGGCAAAAGATCCTGGACTGAACCTGACTACAGAAATTGGCAAGAGAACCTGACTAGAACCTGGTGACTGAACCTGGCTGGATAACCTGGACAGAACCTGGCTGGAGAACCTAGCGAGGGAACATGGCTACAGAACCTGGCTGGAGGACCTGGAGAACCTAGCAAGAGAACATGGACACATATCCTGGCTGGAGATCCTAAGCAGAACCTCTCTGGAGATCCAGACCAGAACTTGGCTGGAGATCCTGGCTAGAGATCCTGGCTAGGCTGCTGATCAACTGAACACTGTCTCCGTGTCATTCCTTCTTCGCCGACTCCATCCACACCTTTGGGGACCCCTGGACCTGCTGGGGTTGGACCCCGGCATCTGGCGCCCGAACAGGGACCGCGGCTCCCGGCAGGCTGCCTCCTGCACACCCCCACTAGGGATTGAACCTGAAACCCAGGCATGTGCCCTTGGCCGGAAACGAACCTGGGACCCTTCAATCCGCAAGCCGACACTCTATCCACTGAGCCACGCCGGCTATGGCTTCCCTCGAGGTTTGAGGGTCTGATCGATGCTTCTGGTTTTGAAGTGCGTGATGGTGCATTATCATGAAGCAAAATTACTTTGCCATGTGTTCTGGCCCATTCTGGTTTACGATCAAAGCATGGTTCAAATTGATTATTTGTTGTAGGCAGCGATCAGTATTAACTGATTTCACCAGTCGCCTGCCTGCCTGATTGCCCCTAACCCCTCTGCCTGCCTGCCTGATCGCCCCTAACCCCTCTGCCTGCCTGCCTGATTGTCCCTAACCACTCATCTGCCTGCCTGATCACCCCTAACCGCCTCTGCCTTGGCCCGACGTCCAGAATGATATCCACAAGGTTGTTCGGCTGTCCAGTCTAAATACCATATTACGCTTTTATTATTATAGATTAAAAGAAACTGAAGCCAGGCCAGTGTTGCTCAGTGGTTGAACATCAACTCATGCATGAACAAGAAGATCACGGTTCAATTCCCGGTCAGGGCACATGCCCGGGTTGCATGTTCAACCCCCAGTAGGGGACGTGCAGGAAACAGCCAACTAATGATTCTAATCATTGATGTTTCTTTTTTTGTTTTAAGATATTTTTATTGATTTCAGAGAGAGAGGGAGAGAGATATAGAAACATCAAAGATGAGAATCACTGATAGGCTGCCTCCTGCATGCCCCCTACTGGGGATTGAGCCCGCAACCCAGGCATGTGCCCTTGGCCAAAATCGAACCCAGGACCCTTCAGTCCACAGGCCAATGTTCTATCCACTATCCTAGCCACTAGGGCATCATTGGTGTTTCTATCTCTCTCTCCCTGTCTTCCTCTCTAAAATCAATAATATTAATAATGTTTTTTAAAGTAAAAATAAGAGATTGATACACTGTGCCTACGCTCAAAAAAAAAAAAAAAAAAGGCTGTAACTTCAGCTCTTGAGTTTCTCTGACCTTGCTGAAGAATCAAATCTACAACTGGCACCCTTGAGATTACAGGAAATAATCCTATTCACCCTGGCTCTGCATCCAGTGACCTGGTTCCTCAGGGACAGGGAATAACTAACCTGCCTTGTTCTAGCCTGTCCTACTCATGAAACAATTTCTGAAGCCTTTGGGAACTAGTTCCCTTGTTTGCAACCCTCCTGCTTCAGAATCTAGGATTAAAGTGCATTACCTCTTACATATAATAACCACCATTTCCTTTTTTCTTTAAAAGTTAACATTTTAAATGACGGGAATCATATATAATCCCACTGCCCTGTTTTTAATATAGCATAGTATATGTTTTTAAATATATATTTGTAATTATTAATTTGTCAAATATTTCAAAATAAAGATGCACTAACTGTGACATCTGTTAGCTAAGTGATCACAGGAGCTGACTCAGCTGTTCTGACTGGCTAGCAAGATGTCCTTATTCCTTCCCCCTCCATTATGAGTAACTATAAAAGTTAAACACTAAATTTAAGAAGAAAATAGACCATGAAAAATCATTTTCCTCTCAAAGTAACAGCAAATATTTTCCAATGTTTATTCAGTCTTTATAACTATCATTTTAATAATCATTAAGGATGATGGTTATTAATATTGTTATCAAAATGGCAAAAAGGTAGATCATTTTTAATGATTTCCTAAAATCTCATCATGTTTTAAGTGTTATATAAATCATTCTCCCTTATATCACACATTTAGGCTTTAAAATTTTTTTACACATATGTTTTAGCTCTTCATTTTTATGAGGGAAAATGAAATCTGGTTCTTAAGAAAAAGATGACTTACCTTTTTTAAAAACAAAGGAGGCCCTAGCTGGTTTGGCTCAGTGAATCGAGCTTCAGCCCACGGACTGAAGGGGGGTCCCGGATTCAATTCCAGTCGAGGGCAGGCTCGATCCCCAGCCCTGGTTGGGACCTCTTCAGGAGGCAACCAATCAATGTGTCTGTCTGTCTGTCTGTCTGTCTCTCTCTCTCTCTCTCTCTCTCTCTCTCTTCCCCCCCTGGCACATAATAGGCAGTTAATAAATGTTAGCTATTATGATGATGATTATTAATAGTTACCAAAATGGCAAAAAGGTAGATTATGCAAAAAAAAACACAAAAACATGAATATTGACTCCTGTCCATAATAGGATATTCTCAATACACTTCATTTCCACATGTTCAAAGTATTCCTCATTTTTCAACACCAACCAGGAATATTATTACTCCTACTCAACTTTCCCTGATCTTTTTCCAAACAAATGCTGTCAAAAATACTGTCTCCCTGCTCACAATTCCCAAGGCAGTTTATATGCACCTCGTGCTCTTCTTGCTTTCTATCTCTCCATAGCAGTTATTCCTATCAAAATCTTAACTCCCATAATGATCAAAATCTCTTTAAGGACAGAATTCATTGTTTTATTCATCAGGTTAATTCTTCAAAATTCCTTGAATATAATCTTGGTAAGCGGCCCCTGAGACAATTCCTTTCTTGGAACCTATTAACAAAGCCTCAAACAAATATCACAAATAACTCTTTGCAACAAAACTTTGGTAACCAGACTAACATAATTAGAAATCTATAGGCCTTATCTATATATAATTGGTTGATATAATCTAATTAAAATAAAGCGGTTTTGAGTTTAGATGCCAATGCTCTATCTAAAATAGAAACAGGTGATTGGCTTTTTACTTTTATGTTTTTCAAGGATCAATGGACTATTTGTTCCCAATCCCAGCATGCCTGGACATATTAAATAGTCAGGACATCTAGTTAGTCACATAAAGCAAAAGAACCAATGGCCATTTTTCTGGGACAGCTTGAGAAAATGGAACTGGTGGTTGAAGAACTCAGGTTCTTTGAGGACTCAAAGGCTATTAGAAGAATTCTATCCATCCTTCTATGATGTCATATAACAAAAAATATATAACCTTCAATTTTCATATTTAATAAAGGAAT